ATTAGCGTTAATTGTCGTTGTATGTTTGCAGTAATGACTGTATCCTATAAATGCTGCAAACTCCTATGCATACATTACCGATATCTGCTACTGCTTTTCTGATTATGTCTCTAATGACGAATCCGTGGCGGATCCCGAAACGTCAGATGAATAAAAGTATTGTCCCATCGACCAAGTCGCCTACTTCTCGATGGACTGCATGTTGAAGCCTTCAATGTGTTACTTTGCGGATTCAGTCTGAATGTGTTTATAAACAATCAAATCTGACCGAGTAATAACAGAGACAAACAAGCGTGTTACATTAAGCACAGCAGGCTTTTCTGCAAAGGTTTCTGATGATGGGCTCCAGCGAGAATCCGACCAATAAATACCTCTTTCAAGCAATCACACCTTTTTATGACAGATTAATCCCCCTGGTCTCATATTTTCCAAGTCCAGTAATAATTTTTGGAATTTGTGCTTTGAAATTTGCCTCCATGCGTATACGCCTTGCATAATTAGATGAAAAATAGATGGGGAAGAAGACGGGCCGAGCACCCGATCAATTGATTCATTGTCTTAGAATTGCAAAAATTCCCATCAGAGAATTCAGAAGTCCAGTTTAGCGAGTATACGTGTAATTTCGACAAATTCTCGTCAGGCCTTACATTTATATGGAAAATGGGTGCGAGTTCAAACATGTTCGTCTTTTTTGGACAAAGGAGTCGTGGGAATGGGGGTGGTGATTCATTGTCCTCAGCTTTCGAACTCTTACAGGAGTCCATCTTCAGAGAGGTGAAGTGACAACCAAAAAAGGGGGTAATTATAGTGACCACAGGCCAATCAAGACGCCAAACTAATTGCTGCTCATGATTCCCAGCTCCATTGACAGCTAATTAACGTACACAATTATTATTGAACCCCGACTCCACTGACAGCTAATTGCCCTTCTCCATCATCCTTTCTGATTGCTGTCTCTAGCCCCTTGACAACCTGATGATTTCTGACAGTTAATTGACCTTTAATCACTATAATTAGCCTCTTTTTGGTTGCTTCTTCTCATATCTGAAGATGGAATCCTGTAAGAGTTCGAAAACTCAGGGCAATAAACCAATTGAATCGGTGCTCGACACGTCTTCTTTCTTACCCATGCAGATACCTGGAACGCAAACCTTTTCATTCATCAGATGAAAAATGGTAAAAGGCTCTTGGGGCTCATGTCGAAGAACCAAATCCTTTGTTGCTGTTTGCAGGCAAACTGCTAACGTAATGTCTTTCATTTCTTGCGAATAAGCTAATATCCGTTTCGGAATTCAGGTTATAATTTCTATTCCTATATGTGGATATCGTAGTGTTGGTTTTCGGAATCTATGTGCAGCGCCAAAACCAACCAGATAAAATCTTTCAACTTCCATGCGTTTTTTCGAAATAAAAGATTGCCTCAGCAGATAATCCCAGAGCTTCCGTCAATTGATCCCGGTTGACGGGTTGGCTGTGGAACCCATGTGCCACTCCAATAATGTGCCGTCGCCCGTATGCTCCTGATCCAAACTTAAATTTCTCATCTCACAAGGCTTCAAAAATCCACATTGCTGGGTAGGTCTGATTCACCCAGAAGTTTCTCGGTGAACCAGGTGCCTGTGCTTAGTCGGGATCTAGAAAAAAATTCCATAAAATCATCTTATCGGACACAAACCGATCGGACTCTGTGTAACCCCCCTCCCCCGCAAGACTTACTATGGGGAAACCTTTCTAGATTTTGAAGTCTTTTCAAACTGTTTTGTAGCCTTTCCCTCGAAACTTACGATATTCTGGTTCTCTTTTGATTAATCACAGACACCTACGAAAACTGTTTCTTGTTCACGGACAGTGGAATTACTACCGAATGACTTTCATGGCCCTGCTTTTCTACCATAAGTGCGTCGCTCTGGTAGCATGCCAGATCTACCAACTGTGCTTCAGTGGATTCTCAGCCCAGCCCCTCTTCGACAGCCTCCTCTATGCCCTATACAACCTCACAATGACTTCCTGCAGCGTTACCGCCTTCGGCCTCTTTGAAAGACATCTCACCGAACGCGACCTGATGCGCTATCCCTTCCTCTACAGACTGGTAGGTTGGATCTGTTCTGGTTGTTCAATTTGGCAGAACAGACGCACTGACTGGTATATAAATTAGGTTTTATTGACAGGGGTTATCATGAGGTGTTGTAACCTCGTGTGTTCCTGTGTCAACATCGGCTATGTCCCCCAGTTACGTGTTGGGAAGAGAAGGCAGAACAGGTTAACAGATAGTACTTTACTGTCAGTTCTACTAGTACATCAACACAGTCTCAATGTGTCCACCAGCGTGTCTTCTGTTGTCGGTCTCGTCTCAGTAGCAGTCCCTCGTCTAGGGTAACAACAGGGTCCCTATTTGCTCGCAGCCTCGCTATTTAAGGGGCAGTAATCATTTCTCACCATTGACTCTCCATGCGCTCTTTGACCCTGGCCAGGCGTGAGTAGCCATTTTTTACCTTGAATACCCGTCGGAGATATTGTATTTTGGCAATCTCTTTTCCCCATTTATTGCAATGCGTCTCAGCACGCCGATAAAGGGTCCTTAGCCAACTCCATTTGTGACTGATTGGGTGGTTGAAGCTGTTGAAGCTCAGTCCTTGCACTGTATTGTTCGCTTTCCTCAAGACTTTAATCCTTGCGACAAACTAGGACATCAGGGAAGGCCGGCTGGTTATTTTCTTCCTTCTCCATCGCAAATTGCTTGTCCGGGAAGGCGCTGTTGATACGTTCTTTGAACGTGAGCACCTAAGCATTTCGAGGACGACGGAGGTATTACCCACGGCGCCCAGAATTTCGATCTATGGTGTTATAGGACCAGCGACTCTAACCGTTGTAGGACCGTTTCGGCTATGCGTCCCAAAAACCGGTGTTCCCTTCCCTTGGCGTGCAGGACTTCGGGAGCTGCAGACTTTGAGCCTATTCGAGGAGATTCTCCGTATCATCGTATTTCCTTAGTGGGAGTAGTTCGACGGCCTCCGCTGCCAGATTCTGGGAAGGGGCGGACAAAAGTAAAAAATGGACGTGACATCAAAGGATACCATGAACTCTCTTTGTAGGAGACTTCAAGTTTCTCCAAGAATTGTGTTATGAACGGACCGTGGATTCCCAATCAATGGTCAGAAATTTGAGATGTCGAAGCAGCTACGATGCCAGTCCATATGTTGGAATGCCTTCCGGCGATGGAATGGGTCAGAGAGGAGCGCCCCCCTTGAGGAGCCCATAAAAGCGGGTCAAGGGTCTTCCCATTCGTTTGCACCCGAGTTCTCTAATCTCAACAGAGTGGTTTACTGAATAACTGAAGTAGTATGCATTCAGAGATGATAAATGTAGAAAGAAGGCTCGTCGGAAAATGGAGTTTTACTCATGAATTTTCGAGCTGGTGACACTAATTCTTCATCAGACGGAATGAAAATGAGGGTCGGGATTATCGCACTAGAGGTTTTGGGGACAGAGATCACATGGAACAGGGGTGGGGGTAGGGAGGGGGTAGGGTAACGCGAATTCTACTGCGATAGGTGTTGCCAGTGAGAGGGGAGTGTGAACGTCTCTATTGTGAGCCACGTGTTCGGGGGAGCTGCAGAATCAGCGTAGTTCCACTTGGCCGAACACGGATCGACTGCTGTGATTTCAGGCGGTGCACAAGTTCGTCGACCATACGCGGGGCCCGGCGTCATGTGAATCAAGATCCACATGCCTGTTAAAACTGTCTGTAATACATTGTAATACAGTGGTTTATGTTCGCGTGTCAGCATTTTGAGGAGGTTGGTATTACATGGAACATAAAATTGACGATCCTTCAGCCAACTCTTGTCTTTCTGTTAATGATTTTCCGGCCCACAGTCTATTAGCAGTCTCTTAGTCTACTAACCCAACTCAAATTCGGTGCTGGGGCTCAGGTTTACCAATGCGACACGTCACTCGGGGAGCGCACATGTGGACAAGTTTCCCAACGCCAACAACGGTGCACCAGCTAGCCGAGCAATCACCACGCCCAAGTCGAGCACGGATAATGAAAGTTCAACAGGTCACGAACGCATGTCGTCCGCCAAGCAAACCACCAAATCTGTACTAAATGCGAAAGCCAATTATAACACTTGTGGAAGATGTGTCGGAGACGATCGATACACACTCATAAACGATTTCCAATATTTCAGAGCTAAGCCGGTAAGAAAACGAGCCCGTAGCCCCATGGTTAGAACGTGAGATTTCTGGTCAAGAGGTCGTGTGTTCGAACCTCGGGTCGTGCACCATCTGGGCTTGGCTGGGTCTGACTGATGATGGCTAGTGAACAAGAAATGGTCCTTAGAGCCTACCTTGTTCTTGCTGCCAGTGTGCATCTGCCTTAGCTAATAATCACTTCGCGGTTGCTGGCAGTACCCGCTAATAAATTTCAAGGTGGAGCGGGACTATTGGCGATAACTGAACAATCGTGCTCAAGTAGGAAGATGTAGTTATGCCAAACTTAGCAAACCCAAATGACAGAATTAAGTACAGTATGGCGAGTACTGCATGCACGAAACAATGATTTTATGGATATTAGTTCTTATGGAGATGGCCATGCGAAGTATATTTAGAAATGCCTCAAAAGAGCAAACCACACTGTCAAGGAAAAATAATGTCCGCAAGATAACTCGGATATTGTTACCGCTAAGATTAATAAATAAACTTCCCATAATTGGTTACCTCCTTAAAAAGTGCTTTATTTAGATATTCAGCTAACAAATTGCTGCGCATATTGACTATTTCCAAGGTTATGTCAAAAGTAAATTGGAAACATTCGTCAATTTTCTTTAACATACTTGAAGATGAAAAATTCAATTAGACTGGAAATGAAAGAACTTACTTTTCTCTTTAAAATGGATTAATTTTTGCATGAATAGATTAATTCCACAATCTGTTATAAGCTTGCGAATGCAAAAAAGATTGGCCATCTATATGGCAATTTTTGAAATGCTTATTATTCTTCTGTCTGTTCCGTTTCTTAATAACACGTAAGTGGAGGTGTAGTTTATAAAAAAAGTATATTTATACCTGACTTACATTTAATAAGACCTCCTTTACACCACCTTCACGGTAACATATGATAGTTTGCTCATTCGCTCATACTTATCGGTGGGTTAAAAAATTTTGTCATTCAAACTTATTGCTGCACCTTATGACACAAAAATTAACAGAATAGCAATGAATAGTTTTTAAAACTTAACTTTTTGCTTGTTTCTGAAAATAAATGCGACTCCTTAAACTTGGCTTCACTTCCATTTGAGCATCTTCGAACAAAATTATCCAGTTCTGGGATGGATCAGTTTCCCATTTCTTTTACTTATTCTGGAATTCTGCCATAGCACAATGGATATTAAGAAATTTTTTGGTTCTGTCCTACCTTATAGCATAGGAAATTTCTTCGATGTTAACGTACACATCATTTAGCCAAACGCTATGCCTATTTCGCTGCATAACTTTAACTAAGAGGGCAGTTTCCCAAACTATAACCTTTCTTATTATTCAATCCACTCAGTCAATCAACATAACCTGTCCAAATATGTGCTAAACTACCAAGTTAAATTTCGTCATGAAAGTTGCATGGAGTGCTTGCCATAGTGTATGTCATGCAAGTAAAGACCAAGTGAAACCACTTAGTCAATTGTTACCCCGACTTCGTCCATGATTCTTTGTACCCCAATCTTAAATACTGATTTGCACTCTAACTCCATTCTAAAAACTAGCCATTAGTCAAAGAGTCATCTGTCCCTTGTATAGAAAACACCGCTCATTTTTAGTTGTGTGTGCTTTCACAGAATCCCCTCCCCTTCACCTTCCTCCTGATAGATAAGTCGCAATGCCAACTACAACCCCGGTTACGTAATCCTCTACTGCCTCGACGGCTGGTGGCTCGGCACTGTCTGTTACTTTCTGGGCTACTTTGTCCTGGTCGGGGGTGGCATCTACGGAGAGGCCACCTTCGTGCTGGCTGGAGCCTCTTATGCCACCCTGGATGTGGACCTCTTCGGCACAGCCGTCTTCCTCTACCTGACAATTGCTGTCAACTTCCGCTGCTTTGTCATCAGCCGAACCTTCACAATGGCCCTGATAATCGGAAACCTGCTCTTTGGTATTGGCAACTTCATCGTCACTTACACATACCAGGTAAAAGATGCAGATTATATATGGTTGTTTGTGTACGCATTGTAGCAAAAATACTACCCACAAATTGTCAGTAGAATTTATTTTACAAATAACTCCTCTCTTTGGTTTGTGTGGTATCAGTGCGGCCTCAGAGCCTTGAGAGGAAACAGGGGATGCATTTAATTATCCAAGCGTTTTCTTGAAGACCTGTGGAGACCCTGCTCCACGACTGATTGCGTAGATCATTCCATTGTTCTACTACCCGTAGCGTGGTGAAAACGCTGATGATGGGAAAATTAGCACTTTTGGGGTTGGCGGTGATTGCAGCTACGCGCAGACCAACTCAATCCAGCTCATCGTTTTAAAATATGTACAGCTCTCGAACTCACATATGAACAAACACGTAGTTAAAGC